TACGGGGAGGCGAGGAGAGCTCGCTCCTCCGAGAACGAGGACGAGGTATCCTCGCAACAGAGGAAAATTGAAAAAAGGCATCCGCCCGTGGAGCCGAGGATAAGCGACGAGGAGGATTGGGAGAGCGAGTTGAGGATACGGAGGAAACAATTTATGGAGAAGCACGCGATCCGGGAACGGGATCCTCGTTTCGAGGACGAGGAAGATTTAAGCTCGCCGAGAAGGAGATCCTCGGCTGAGGGTAAGATAGCCCTGCTGAAGGACCCCGGCTCGGACGATAATATGGACTCGTGGACGGTGAGCGTTGGAACGCATGCCGCCGCCCAGCTCGGCTCGTCTCAAGAGCGGAGCGAGGAGGAGGAGGAGGAGGAGGAGGATGTCGCGTATACGTTTCGGCGAAGGGAGTATCGCGAGCGAGCGCCGTCACCGAGGGAGGAGGTGGAGGGAGAGGGGGAGGAGGCGAGGAGGAGGCCGTCTTACGCGAGCAGCAGCGAGGTGACTTCTATGGAGGAAGACAGCGACGTTGCAGGTTATAACTTCGTGCTGACGAAGGACAGTAGGAAAAAGTCTTTGCAGGATCTCTCGAAGCTGCCCCGGGATGACTCTGATCTGACGGAATCTGGATGGAACGTTGTGAGGCAAGACAGCGGGGAAGGATTGCCCAGATCTTCGTCCACGGGCCTGTACAAACGCGAGTCGATCGTAAAGAGCCAGGCCAGCGAGGAAGATCCGGAATATCTCGTCGTGGAGAGGCCGAAGCTCGTTCAGCAAGAACGGGAACATCCGTTCAAGAAGGCTTGGCAGATGCAGAAATCTCGTTCCGAGGAGGATGGTTCCGCGTATACGATCAAAGAACCGAAAGAACAATCTAAAACGGAGACGGCGAGATCGAGGGGCGAGGATCCTCCGTCGAAAGAGGAGGAAAAGGAAGGGGGTGGGGAGCAGCAGTACGGGGAGGACACAGGCGCGTCTCCCGACGATGATTCGGAATTGACGCACAGCAGAAGCAGCGACACGGAGGAGTACACGACGAGGAGTTCGAGATCGGAGGGAGCGGAATCTTCGTCAACGGAGAGGAGCAAGAGTTTCGAGAGCAACAAATTTGGTCTGAGATCATCGGACGTCGAGGAGGACTCCTCAAGGTCTAATTGGCCATCCGAGGACGAGCAAGTTTATAAAACAAGTCCGAGGAGTAAATTGGAGGAGACGGAATGGATCTGGGAGAGGGAAGAGACTTGATGGATTTGGAGCGATTATCGAAGCAAGAAAAAAGATAATAAACGTAACTATAACGAGGTAAATTATTCGTGGGGAAGTTATTGGTTGGATTCCTCCAGAAAAGAATGGACGAATTTTTCGACGAATGGTTGGGTGAAAGGTTGACGGTGGGTTTTGAAAGGAAGATTGTGAATCTTCGAAAAGTTTGGTGATCGACGATTTGAATCGTTGTTCCCTTGTGAGAAGCATTATCGAGCGATTTTTAGAAGCGTATCGATTTATAGGATATTTTTACAATCTGTGTATTATCTTTACGTGTATTAAAAAGAGAAACGATTTGTACCCGCTCTGTAGTTCTCTAGCTGTTGGAATTTTAAACGTTGAGAGATGAATGACAAGACCAAAGTAAAAAAAACTACTTTTCGTTGAACAAAAAGTTCATTATCCATATCCTGTTATACTTAATTATATTATTGAAATTTGATGAAACGTGTTCATTGTAAAAATATTGATAATAAAATGATTCTAAAGAAATGGAAACTTCATATAACGAAGTTTTCTTTCGAAAATATCATAAAAATTAATCGTTCATTAATTTCAAATTTTATTTTATTTATAAGATATATACGTTAGAAAAGCAAATCGAGGTACGATTTCATAATATTTCAAAGAAAGTCTACTTACATCACCTATGTCCAAGCAATTTTCATCGACTCTTATCCTCATTTGCCAATAACTTACAATCTACTACTAAGAGCTTCACTAAGAAAGAATATCAGCGAACGCAATGGAATCAGAGTAAAAAGAAAAGATTGCCCTCCCTCGTCGTTAGTTTACGACAGAAGGCCTCGTAAAGAGCTCATACGAGCACATAATGGCCGCCGTTTGTTCGCAAGCTGATTCTCGTTGTGGACGTTATCCAAGGGCGGGTGATGTACACGCGCGTTTATAGCGCCGTAGGGATTACTTCCGTTCAGCATAGGAAGCGACCGCAGGAGATGGCCGCTTACGGTGCTTTTCATTGCATCGCAAGCTCGATCGGCGTGGCTTGGCCCGTTTACGCCTGTCACACGGGATCAGCGATGTCTTCATACCATGTACACATCCCACGAATGGATCAGATACTCACCTACACGTTCGAGCTAAATTGATCGAAAGATACGTCGTATTTCATGCTCCAATCTTTCTTTTATTATCGTTCCTTTCCTTCCTGTGCACTCTTCTCTGCAAGAATGTGATTTAAAAAAATTATGTATATCTCTTGCTTCTAATTTCGTTTTGATTTTGACTTTTCTATTGAATTCTCTGTAGTTTTTTTAGATCTCTCTATTTTATTAACGGAATTACCAAAAAAGAAAGAAAGAGGAAAATAATCGTAAATTGATATATTAAAGTCTTAATACATTCGATTGAATGTTATTATTTGATCCAAGGATGGATATTAATTTTTACACTCAAATATGACAGACTCGAGCGTACATTTGAATAACATCTCAATAATTCACGTAATCATTGACCAAATGAAAGCCATCTGGTGGATCCTTCAACCCCAATTGTCCTAGCGCAGGCCGGACATGAATGTAGCCGGAATTTATACGTATAAACGGAGCTATGGATCGGGGCGATGCGATATCAAATTATCTAACAGAATCCTGGCGCGAAATATACGAATACTCGAGGACTTCGATAAGTGGTTCCAGTCCCTAGGCGTTCTCAGGTATGAAACCACAAAATGGCATAGCCATCGTGAACACGGACGTTCGAGGAATTCGAAACGGTCGAAACGCGAGCGGTACGACCTTCCACGAATCACTTGCCACCAGTTTGGACTACCACGGGTTCACGGTGCCGTGGCTGTGAGCGAAAGCTTGGAACGGGACTCTTGAGATTCTAGAATCCAGGGCCACGAGCTGCACGACCCTTCATAAGCTAGGAATGCGACCGCGGTTCTGATTCAGGTGTTTCGAATCTTTGATTGTTTACTTGTGCAAAAATACTATCCTTTTCTTAACTCTTTTCCTCGATTCAGTCGAGATGGAAATCGATGATGATCTAGATTGTTATAACGTTTTGTTATAGAGAAAGAAACGTAAAATTGGAATATTCTTCTCTTCATCTATTTTGCTTTCACCATAACAATTATATACTTGTAGCTTAAATTTATTTTTAAAAATTCAGTTTCCACGTAATGCTTTAATTATAAAAAGTACCTCACATCTATCTCAAAAGTGTTCAACTCAACAATATCAAAAGAACAAAAAATCTATTTCGTCTTATTTTTTATCAATATCATTCATTCAATGATTATATTTATTAACGTGTTAGCAAAATTTTTTGATTTTTCTTGAAAATAACACACGCGTCTCTTTCAGTTCTATCGTGTCTCTTCCTACTTATTTTATCGTTGAATCTTTCCTCGAACGATCTTCCCAATCTTATTCAGACTTATTCCCTTTATCGTTTGATGGCAGGTATGTTGAAATCGTGGCCGTTTCGTCAAAAACACGATTCATCGGATGTGATCTCTTGTCCATCGTCTCGTTAGTAGGCTGCTTATCCGCTTTCCTCCTCGACGAGCTATGCGAACCTCGTGTTCCCCCATCGTCGTTGATTTTCCTGCCCTGCGTCCACGTGTACACGCGCCTTTGTTGATACACGTGCACATACGTACACGGATTCCAGCAGCTGTGTACATGATGTTCCGAACTATATCTCGTTCGAGATATAACGTTTAAACTGATAGGTTATGATGTTGCACACATGGCTGTAATAATTTTCTTAACGCGCATTTCAATCTATTTTTAAAGGAAAGCTTTTTTTTTCTTCTCTTCGTAGAAGAAAAATTATATTTAAATTTCATCTCGAAACGATCATAAAAATCTGAATAAATAATATTAAAATATTATTTCTATATATTTATATGTCATTATATGTCATTAAAAGATATTCGAATTTTAAGTCGAAAATTTATTTCACGAGGAACAGAAGAGCACCACTTTGTTCTCGTGTTAAATTTTACAATAAGACAAAACAACTTCTAAGTTAATGCTTTTTTTATATAACCGGATTTACTTCATAAAGTTCCACACATTTTTCACTTTGGAAAGATAAAGTTAGAAAGTTCATACGTAACTTTGTAGAGATTTACAACCAAGAACAAAGAAACGCGCGTGCGCGCAAAAGAAAGATATAATATCACCAAAAATCTTCAAAGTTATTTAAAAGCTTTATCCAAAACAACTTTATCAACTAAAATCATTACTCGCAGACTAATCAAAACAGTTTCCAATTACAAACACGCTCTCCACTCTGTATACACTGCAATTGCTATAATCGTATAACCTATATAACCCAAAGTATCATTTGAAGCGATAGTCCTCCCGAGACACCCCGTATACGCGTATATATACATATACACTGCATCTGGTAGATCGTGCAAACACGAGACACAGTCCTCTCTTCTCCCCATACCGAACGACGTGGCCAGACTGCGGAAATCGGTGATTTCCACAATGCGTTCCTTTACAGTTGCGCCTGTAGCGTTTCCAGCATGCACACAACAGGCTTTCCTTTTGGAGACCGTATTCGATGTACTTGCCAAAATAAATACCGATGCACCCGTGAACCCGGGGCACGCCTACTGTCTTAACCGGCACACGGCACAGTGGTAGTCGTCGTAGCTAGATCTCGACCGGTGCAAGAGGCGCCTCCTTGGCCACTCAACGTGTTTACTTTGGTCGAACACGTTTCGGTCCCTGCCAATCACGAGCAATTAAAGTGAACGAAAGATGACTGCGGTTCTCGCATCGCTACGTACGTGATTTTTATCGAAGATTCGATTTCGATATTCCCATGAATTTTATTTATTTATTTCGACACGATTATTCAAGTTTTTCAGTAAATTTCCTTTTTTTTTTTTTTCAAGTGTTGAATCAAATTGTTTCTTTTTTATCGTTATAGATGTACTGGTTGTATGTTCCATATTTTCCTATAAGTTGATCTAATTTGATAAATATGTGTGAACAATATCAGCAGTGTTAAAGAGATGTAAAATGTATCGATATTATTGTTCAAATCGATCTCAGGAAAAGAGTCTGTAATATGATAGCTATAAGGAAGAGGGGAGAGAAACGTCTAACGAAAAGGACCCTCGAGTGATGTTCGAAGGCGAAGAGAAACGTCTAATGCCGTGGTGGCATTTGCATACTTGGGTATTCATGCAGGGAAAGCTTTCGTCGGCGCATTACACGATCCGGGATTGTTGTGCGAATACGCAACAGTTCTCGCAAAGTAAGTGAGAGAACGTTGAAGAGGTTGTAGATACGTTGTTGCTACGTTGAGTACACTTGAAACTATGAGTATATAATATACATTGGATGTCACTCATTCGATAAAATTCTCAGAATTATTTCACAAAGTTGGCACTGAATGATAATTGATAATTTATTCATCGTAATTTACCTCTTTCCCATGCACAACTCTAAGTCTTTTATTCTTCAGACTTGATTTTTTATTTTTCTTAAATTTTTCTCAAAAAAAAAAAGATCTGAAAACAATTCAGAAACAATTTAGTTTAATTTCTAATTTAATAATAAAAACTTATTTCGAAGAAAATTTAATTTCAATAGAACTTCTTCTCAGTCTTCATCGATTCACAGATTCTTCTTTACGAAGATTATTGATGTATAAATTTTATAAATAGAAAAATTTATTTATAAATCGAAAGAATCGATACGTTAGAATATGACGGGCATTGTTCGCGCCGAGCTCATAAAATATCACCACGTGAATCTTTCTCAGTCGTAGTAAGTTTCAATTTATCCCTCGACGTCAAACACTCGCGCAGGGAGGTCTGCCACCCAATTTCCGGCGCAGCAATTTCCCGTAGCGTGGAGACAGCTAAACACGTAGGAGACATCTCCTTAACATTGGGAGGAGAGACACGCTTTTGGCATGGTGGCTCATCTACTCGAGCCGATATTATCAATCGATTCGATAGAACGCCGATAACACGAAATAAAACTTTTATTTTCGAATAGAAGGGAGGATGTTTCCTCTTTCGTATCGTGTCGCTCAGGCCTCGGTTGGATAATTGCTTCGATTATTTACAAGATTTTCTTCCAAGGCGGATTAAAGCAATACCTCCATCCCCCTCCTGTTACTGTTGAGGGCGATACTTCGTCTACTTTGAAGAATGCTTCTCCTCCTTTCTTTCATCTTCATCCTCTATCCGTTTATCGTCTCCTGGTCCCTTCCATTCCTGCCTGTACGCGTCCTCGTCGATCTGTCTTGAACTCGATGGCCCCTCTCGTTCTGTCTTTCAAGCCCTAATCGGATTACCACGGAACGAGGTGTTCGTTCGGGTGTAACTTCACGATAATGGATATTGCTATTCAAAGTATTTCTCGCGTTAAATGACGTTCTCCGTAT